CTGGGACACAACAAAACAAAAAAAGAAACAAAACAAAACAGAACCCCCTCGGACTGGGGGAGGGAAACCCAACTTGTTCAAACCTTGATTCCTCTTCTCCAAAAGTACATCCATCAGAGTCTTTATTCTGTGGTTCTATGTAGCTATTAAAAATGCCTGAATCAGCAAGACTGCCTGCCTACAGGAAGACGAAAACCAACAACGAGAAAACAGACACCACAAACAGCATAATCCCGGTCACCCTCTCTGCCAGCGGCAGCCAAGGCTCTATGACCAGGAACCTTGGCTTGCTTCCTTCATTTTCACTTTCTAAAACCCTTCTCTGCTTATAAACTGTGTTTTATGCACTGATACCACCATTTGTCTAAGTCCAGCAACCATTTTCTTCTCCTCAGACCCACCGTTCACACACAGCACCAAGAAACCACAATGGCAAGCTCACCTCACATTCCTCTGTGGTTTTTATTTCTAGCCTCACCTAATCGCTAGGCTTAGAGATGGGATTCCTCTCATACTTCAACAGCTTGCCTGATACTGTCCATGGCCTGTCTAATCGAAAACTCTGCAGTGATCTAGACGAATGAAGTAGTTTTTCTCTCTTCTTCTGTGAAAAATTCTATAACATCTCTCTCTTATAATCATTCAGTTAGTTTCTGTTCTCTTAATGGCATTCTACTGAGACTTTACAAATAGAACTGCAAATTCCTCTAAACAAGTGCTATGAGTCCCCTGGGCCTGCTGTGGGTATTGAAAAACAACAGGTTTCCAAGTCTGCAAGGTTGAGAGTCAGATTCCAGACTGCGGCAAATCCACCAAGGCAGGATTACGCTTTGAAACACCTTTAGGAAGGCAACCAACCAGCTTCCCCTCGAGACAGCACTTTCAAAACGTCAGTAACTGGCACAGAGTTACAGTTTCTATTTTTCTAATTTTCTCCATCTCCTCAAATTAAGTTACTGTTATTCTTTTGTTGACACTAGTTATTTTTGGCTTTGCTTCTGTCTGCCACGCGAAGGAGGAGGTCATGTTTGTTCAAAGTTCTCCTTCAAATTATTCCATCTTTTATTGAGTGACTGCTAAGAAATAAGCACTATGCTAGGTGCCAAGAGGAACTCAAAAAACAGATCAAGTGATCTGGATGAGGGGAAAAATCTGTACACAAACTCAGAAATACAGGGGCAGGAACAAAAGAGTAGGCAGGGTCCTGACTAGATCTGTATATATAATTAGCCTTTCTTCTGCCGCTCCTGTCATGTCACCATTCCTCACTGACTTCTTTTCCACCGTCTTTTACTAGTTGTGATTAATAGGTAATGCTCACCAGACTTCCTTCTCATCTAGTCCTTCCATGACCTCTATCCGTATTAATCTTTTTGGTTGGCCGCTGCCTCAACTGCCTAGGCTGCCTCGAGAACTGCTGCAGGCTTTCACCTTTTTCTTTCTCTCTCGGGTGGTTCCACGGTGGTTCCTGTACCTCCCAGCAGGTACAAAAAGAAGATGCCACACATGAAATGTGAAAGATTTTCCACTGTGTATCTGAACCAAAATCCCTGAAACTCATGTCCCACATTTTAAAATTTTTGGTACAAGTTGAGTACAGTGAATTCTCCATACCTTGCCCATAAAATATGTTGAATGAGTATTTGCTTTGCATCCACCAATAGGCAAGAATTGGAGATGTCTGAGTTTCTGTAATGGAGATTTCTGTTAAACTAAGATTTTCCAAACTTATGTTCTACAGATCACCAATTTTGTGAGTTTTAATAGGTGTTAGGAGACAGGGAGTCTTTGGTTAAATACGCATGGGAAACACTGGGTTTTACAAAGTTAAATGAGTTTCTTTACCGTAGGACTGCTGATGGCCCCTCTAATATGCTAAAGTGAATCTCTCATTTCTTTTAATTAACTTTTATTGGAGTATAGTTGCTTTACAATGTTGTGTTAGTATCTACCGTACAGCAAAGTGAATCAGCTATATGTATAAATGTATCCCCTCTTTTTTGGACTTCCTTCCCATTTAGATCACCACAGAGCACTCAGTAGAGTTCCCTGTGCTGTACAGCAGGTTCTCATTCGTTATCTATTTTACACATAGTATCAACAGTGTATATATGTCCATCCCAATCTCCCGATTCATCCCACCTCCCCCTTCCCCCCTTGGTGTCCATATGTTTGTTCTCTACATCTGTGTCTCTATTTCTGCTTTGCAACTAAGTTCATCTGTATCATTTTTCTAGATTCCACATGTAAGCAATATTAATATGATATTTGTTTTTCTCTTTCTCCCTTACTTCTAAAGTGACTCTCTTAGAGGAGAATATTAGGGAATATCATGTGAAGCTTTCCTCGACTGACCTTTTGACTCCATATCCTTTTTTTCATGGAGCAACTTCCAGGCTCAATTCCTCCTCTGTAAACCCAGTACTTACTTCATGGGGTTATTATGAGGATTGAATAAACTAATACAAATAAAATGCTTAGAACAATGCTAGGCATATAATAAGTACTCCAAAAGAGACAACTATAATTATGACTACATCCCCATATGCAGATATTTAACATGGCAATATTCTCAGAAAAGCGAAAGGAGAAAATTTCTACTGTACAGTTGGCCCTCCGAATCCACAGTTGCGGAACCTGCAGATAATGGAGGGCCTCTGCAGGTTCCGCAGCCGTGGATACGGATAGGCAAGGATACCAGGCCATTTTACATAAGGGACTTTGAGCATCCATGAATTTTGGTATCCACAGGGGTCCCTAGAACCGATCCCCCATGGATACCGAGGGACTACTGTGCAGTAGTTTCCACTGTTAGTGCCAAGTGGATGGAATGAGTCCTCCCTTTGCCTGAGAGGCACTGCTTGAGGCTACAAATAACAGAAAACATTTACAGAAATCATTTATATGCCATAGTTACCAGTCAGAAACTTAGATCTTACAGAAAAAGCCCAAAGTTAAAAGGGTCTTATGAATTTTCTTCATTCCAAAGGGAACAAGCCTTGAGAATTTTGAGGGCTAAGGCAGTCCAAATACTCAGCACAGTCTCTGGTACATAATAAGCACTCAATAAAAGTTTGATGACGAACCTGAGAAATTAATGGATAAATGACTATTACCGCAAATAACAACTCATGTATTATTTCTAAATCACTATAAGACAACTGGGAAACCCATTCCATTTTTATATTTAGGCTCCCTCACTCTCCTTTATAATTGTTTAATCATTTAGGTGGAATATAAAAAGTAGACAGAAGAATGGCTGCCACATTTTGTTTAAGAGGTGTTATTAGAGGCACTTGATTAAATTTAATCTCACAGGGATGTCACAATAAAATCTAAAAAAAAAATCAAACTATAAAGGTAATATGCATAGTACACAGTGGTGCTGCTTAAGTGACGTTTACATCTTTAAAGAATTAAAATAAATGAGGTGGTGCAGTGGTGGTGCAATGGTTAAGAATCCGCCTGCCAACGCAGGGGACACGGGTTCGATCCCTGGTCCGGGAAGATCCCACATGCCGCATAGCAACTAAGCCCATGCGCCACAACTACTGAGCCTGTGCTCTAGAGCCTGTGAGCCACAACTTCTGAGCGCGCATGCCATAACTACTGAAGCCTGTGTGCCCTAGAGCCTGCGTGCGGCAGCTACTAAAGCCCATGCGCTCTAGGGCCCGCACTCTAGGGCTGCAACTACTGAGCTCGCGTGCTGCAGCTACTGAAGCCCACGCTCGGCAACGAGAAGCCACTGCACCACAATGAAGAGTAGACCCTGCTCACTGCAAATAGAGAAAGTCCACATGCAGCAACGAAAATAAAATAAATGAGTTACCTCATATTTACAATTTATACAGAAATTTGATATTTATAAATTTACACAGGACTCTATCTCTGCCTGTTCACCTAGGCTGGTTTTAGAACTCTGCAAAATTTTCTAAGAACTGAGAAATGATGAGAAACAGAAAACTAACCTATGAAAAATTAAATGGGTTAGTAGAAGGAAAAGGAAGTGTATTTTTTAAAACTCATGAAGGATCTTCCCAACTATTCTTTTTCCTGATAACAATGATATCAAATACTTCCAGTTTTAAAATCCCAGGATTCTAAGGCTATGACCTCAAAATAATATCACTGCTTCCATCACCCAGTTTCTTCCTTTTATTTTATAACTTTCCTTCCTTCCTCCTTCCCTTTCTTCCTTTCTTTCTTTTTAAAACAAATAACCTGATAATTCTCGCATTAAAAAATTCTAGGACAGGGGTCAGCAAACTATGGCCACCGGCCAAACAGGACTTGCTGCCTGTTTTGTATGCCAGATGGTCAAGACGGTTTTTTTACATTGTTAAAGGGTTGTAAAATAAAATAAAGAAAAATATGTAACGGAGACCTTATGTGGCCTGCAGAGCCTAAAATATTTACTACCTGGCCCTTTATGAAAAACTCTGCTGACTCTGTACTAGGATAATATTTATCAGAGCTAACCCAGTAATTTTGTATAATTCACATCAATGACCAGGTCACAGTGAATTATTTTATGACGGCAATTAGAGTAAAACTCCATAACAATATTACAATATTTGTTCTCTTTACGTATACCACTTGGTTCCAATAACCAATTAAACTGCTTTTTTTTTTTTTTTTTAAGAATGCAAGCAGTGAACCCAGAACATTATGGAAGTTCAAATATCAAACTCAGACCATCCGAACAACAGTCCTTCAGTTATAAAGCTCGTCTAAAGCGGAGGTGTAGCCTAGCTAGCTCTTCTCTCATGGGAATTCAGACCAACTGATAAGTGAAATAAGCCCCAACCACTTTCTCATATTGCATATCCCCCAAACTCACTTCGCTAAAAGAAATAAAATAATTCTCTCTTGATGCCTCTGAAGTCTACCCGAGGTGAGATATATATATATAATCTCAAAATCTCTAACGTGTTTTCTGATTCCATTTTCTTACAGAGTTTTCTCAAAGTACTTAAAAGAAAACAAACTCAGTAACTCACTCCAGAGCAGGTCTCAGAACTCGGACTTTTAACGCTTCTAATATTCGGTTTAACTCCACAAACGGTTCTTTCTGGCTTGGGTCTACAGAAAGCCCAGATTCCTGAAAAAATTGAAAGAACTTTCATTAGTAGTAATCAGAATAAAGAGATATGGTAAAAGCATATTCTACATTATAAAATGTGAGGCAAATCACTAAAGATAATTTCTTTTTACCATGCATTTCTCTGGCAGAGACTGATGACTGAGCCCCAGTATCATTCTTCCTCCTTTTCTATAATAGTAAACCCCCAAATTTTAGCTGGGCACATAACTATATGGAATAAAGCTGGGCATGGCTTTGCAAAATGTAAGTTCTGGCCAATGAAACATAAGTATATACTCTTTGCCCCTTCCTGTAATACAAAATGTCTAGCTGGGGTTCGGGCTATCCTGGACCATGTGGACAAGGGACACCTTAGAAACAGCAGAGCTACAAGCAGCCAAGGTCCCTAAGAGCTTCACGGCACATGGCTACCACATATGCAGTGGATGGCTTACTACCTCCGATTTCTGTGTAGGAGAAATAAACTTCATTCTTGTTTAAGGCATTGGTATTTTGGGTCTCTGTTACTTGTAAACAAAACTTAATCCTAAATGACACAATTTATTTTAGGAAATTTATATGGACACATACACAAAATCCCATAACATACAGAGAAAGACTTGAGTTATTGCTTATCTGAACTGTTTAACAGAAAAGGCTTACATTAGAGGTCTGGTTTACAGACTGGCTTTAAATTATTTAATCCTTATGGTCCTTCATTTTTCTAAATGGAAAATACAACAGCACAGAATGTAAGCCACAGAACACAGTCTGATGACACACGAATTGGAACTGAATCCAAGTTCCTCCACTAAGAACCTGTATGGCCTTGGGCTGGTTACTTCTCCAGACCTCAGATTCCACATCTGTAGAATGGGAGCAGTCACTTCTTCCTCAATCATTTCTTCCTCACAGGGTTGCAGTGAGGAATAAAGGCAGGGCTTGGCGGGTGGTAAATACTCAATACAGGGCAGCTGCTAATATTATGACTATGTGGTACTGGTAAACTGTTCTGAGACCCCTAACTTCATGTCTAATAGGAATAAAAGACAAATGCTGCTCACTTGAAGTAAATTTTAGCTTGAAATTCATTTGATAAACAAAGTTCTTTAAGCTGGGCTAGATGAGAAAAGCAAATATAAACCTCTTTGTCCTTTTCTTCTCTGCTACACTAACCTTCCCTCATACTACTGTATATAGAAGATAACTAAGAAGAACCTACTGTATAGCACAGGGAACTCTATTCAGTGCTCTGTAAGGACCTATATGGGAACGGAGTCTAGAAGAAAGTGTGTATATGTGTGTGTATGGCCGATTCACTTTGCTGTGCAGCAGAAACTATCACAACACTGTAAATCAACTATACTCCAATAAAAAAATTAATTAAAAAAATAAAGAAAATGCCCTGGCTTATTCCAAAAAAACAAACAAAAAAAAAGAGGAGATGTTTGAAAAAGTAGCATCACTTCTGACCCTTGATTGATGACCTGGGACCAACATTCTGGGGCAGGAATAAGGAAATAATTTGAATAACAAGTTCTAGGACTATAATTTTCACCAACTTTAAAAAAAAAACCCCAAAACGAAACTTCCTAGTAAACTGAAGTCAGCCCAGATGATTAAAATGTAAAAATCTGCCTATGGCTTGGAGGACTTAAAAACTGCAAGGACTTCCCTTGTTTCCGTTTCATCCTCTTGCAGGTGGCACACTGTTACCTGGCAGAGCTCCTCGGCTACATCCAGCATTCCTTGTCGAAAGAAGTGCTCCACCATCACCTCATTGAGAAGCCTTTGGCTGTCTGCCTGCCAGCAGCCATCTATTCCCACACTGCTAATGTCAGAATCAAAATTCTGAAAAACAAGAAAGCAAATCATGAATTGACCAGGATACATCACTTGGTATGTTTTCACCCCACCCAACTTAACAGAAACAATGGCCTTTGTTTCACTCTGAGACGCCTCAAATAAGTACCCAATTCCAATTCATCTGTAGCCTATGACTATTTCCATTGCTCTTTTCTGAACCTTGCCACTCTCACTCATTACCGCTGGGAGGGTAAACAAGCACATTTTTTGAGGGTATTTTGGGGAAACACATAAATTTAACAATGACTTCTGTGAGTAAATTGATTTCTAGGCATTATACAATAGGAATATTTTCAGAGGTGTGCAGTGATCCCTGTAAAAGCATGTTCAATGCAGCACTGTCTAACAGAAAAAAAAAAAGAAAACCCATTATGTCCAGCATAGGATTATTCAATAATCCATGGCACATCCCAACAACTGCCGTGCCAAGGTGGAGACTGGGGATAGGAGAACGGCCAGATAGTTCAAAGAACAGGCTCTGGGGCCAATCTACCTGGGTTTGAATCCTGGTTCTACCTTACTAGCTGTGTGATCTTGGCCAAAATTACTCAAGGTCTGTGAGCCTCAGTTTCCTTATCTTAAGCAGAGAAAAATACTTTTATGGGCTGAACTGCATCCTTTCACAATTCCTGTGTTGAAGTCCTAACTCCCAATACTTTATAAAGTTAAAATGAGGTCACTAAGGAGAGCCCTAATCCAACAGGACTGGTATCCTTATAAAAGGAGGAAATCAGGACACAGACAGGCATAGAGGGAAGACCATGTGTTACAGACCAAACGTCTGTGTCCCTCCCAAATTCCTACATGGAAGCCCCAGCAACCAGTGTGACTGTATCTGGAGAGAGAGTCTGGGAGAAAGTGCTAAAGGTTAAATGAAGTCCTAAGGGTGGGGCCCTAATCCGGGAGGCCTGGTGCTCTTGTAAAGACAAGGAACAAACACCAGGGCTCTCTTGCTTGCTAGCTCGCTCGCAAGCTCGCTCTCCACCACATGAGGACACAGTGAGAAGGTGGCCATCTGCAAGCCAGGAAGGAGGGTGTCTGCCTTCGACAGGCAATGAATTGGCCAGCACCTTGATCTTGGACTTCTCAGTCCCTAGAACTATGAGAAAACACGTTTCTGTTGTTTAAACCACCCAGTCTATGGAATTTTGTTATGGTAGCACAAGCAGACGAAGACACCACATGATGACACAGGAAGTAGATGGTTATCTGCAAGTCAGGAAGAAAGGCCTCAGAAGAAACCAACCCTGCCACACCTTGATACGGAACTTCCAGCCTCCAGAACTGTGGGGAAATAAACGTCTGTGTGAGCCACCCAGTCTGTAGTACTTTGTTATAGCAGCCCTCATAAATTAATATACTTCCTTATTGGTTCAATGAAATGGTAGTTGCTATTATGCTAGTATTACTATTCATAATTAAAAAGTGAGGTTCATTGCTCGGTGTCTACTAACATGGAAAAATGTCCATAACACCTTAAGTGAAAAAAAGCAACTTCTACAAAACTACAAAATTATGACTCCATTTGTTAAAAAAAAAGAATCCTTAAAAACCCAACCTGTCTCTCCCACTGAATGCAGTTACAAAATCAGGACTGAATGGAGTAGCTACTTGAGGAAACAAAAAAGTGAACAGTAGTAAGTGGACAAAGAACTGGCAGTGAGTTTACTACTTTTCTCCCTCCAATATCTCTTAGCCTGGATGCAATGCAGCCAAAACCCACAACTGGGCACCCAGGATGTGGACAGAGCGCTCCAGGAGAAGCCCTTCGGTTCTGGCACGGGGAACACGAGTGTATTCTCCTACCACATAGAGAGTGGGGGAAATCGCATGCTTTTTTCCCTCCCTTTTCTTGTACTGTAGCTCAAGGCAGCCTGTAGTTAAATCAGTTTCTATTTCTACCCTTCACAGCAGTTCCTAGATTATGTTTGACTGAATAACCATGGGACAAGAATCTTGGGAGACCTTTAGAACTCTGTCTACCATAGCAGGAAACCGAAAACTCTGAGGCACCTTTAGAAAGGGATCCTTCCCCTCCAGTCAGAGAAGCTATGGTCCCAAGAGCGAGGGGCAAAAACCCCTCGTGCATCTTTTCTCTCTGCCCTTCCACCTTGTAGCCCCAGATACAGGCAGAGTTACGGCAAATATACAGGAGAGCAGGGTAAGTAAAGCCCCAGATTTCTGGCTGGGTGACTAAAAAGGCAGCCCCAGAGAACCATCAAGTAACAGGGAGATCACAGAGAGGAAGAAACGCAGGAAAGTGATCCCCCCACCAAGTTGTTTATGAACTCCTGGGCTCACCCTCAAGTTATACAGGCATGGGTCTGACCCTCAGCAGCATACCACAGACTTTGAAAACTGAACTAAGAGACAGCCCTAGTTTCCAGGTCCCAGAATGGGACACACAAACAGAACATATCTGAATAGCTCTGTAATGGCTTTGGAAACGAAGCTGACATTGAAACTATTTTAAAACTCAGAGAAGACTGAGTAGCCTGAACCCAACCAGGTCAAGTCCGCTAAAACAAAAACATCAATATTCTCCATAGAACTTAAATAAGACCCAGAGGCTCAAAACATAACATTAAAAATGTCCAAAATACAATCCAAAATTATTTGTCATATGAAGACCTAGGAAAATCTAAATTCACATAAGATGTTCAACAGACAACAATGCAAAGATGATAGATGTTGGTATCATCAAAGACGTTAGAACAATTATAAAACTGCTTCAAGAAGGAAGGGCAAACACTTCTGAAAAGATAGAAGGTCTCAGCAGGA